GATGCTGCTGCAGTCAGATGGAAACAACACAAGGAACTTTCCACATGGCGTCTAGTCAAAGAAAAAAAAAAAACGGAGCTGCTAGAGGCTGGCTGGGGATACAGGGTGAAATTAACTGCGGAGAGCAGCAGCAGATATTTTAGGTCAAGCTCACGCTGCTGCAATGCCATGCATCCGTGGTCCCAAAGCCCTTCGGGTGCAGCACCAGAGCCAAGGGCTGCTGTATCTCTTTCATCGACAAAGCAGAGAATGACTGAGGTGGTGAAGTGACAGCAGGAGGGGGCGCAGACAGGAGAAATCTGAGTCTTGGCAATAATCTCATTGCATATTCTGTACTTGTGATCTGTCTAATGCTGTAGGATTCCTATATCCTGTAAGTTCCAAGTTGACAAATTTAGAAGTAGCATTTACAATACCTCAAGTGGCAATATCTTGGTCTTAATCCCTTATCTGTCCCTGCAACCTGTAGTATCAGGCAGCAAACCATGCCAGAGCCATCACAGTGTCACTGGGATCCCAGCCCTCTCTCCACAGACAAATTCCCCTGATGCCCTCGTTTCTCTTCTCCTCTCACCCACACGAACGAGAAGAATTCTGTGAGAAGTTGGCACGGCTGCAGAAAGATGCAAAGTTATTGATTTCGGAATCAGATGTACACAAAGGATGTAATTAAACACCACATAGGCCACGTACTTGTTGTCCTGCCCTTGGGTTCATTCCAGTGGTGAATAAACTGCAGACAGACAGACTGCTCCAGCAGTTGTGACTGCAGTCTCGTGGAGTAGGAATAAATTAATCAAGCTTACCTCTCCTTGCTAGAAAGCCAATCAGGCTAGCTTTTCAAAGTGTAACTGCAATAAACCCTACATAAAAAAAAGGAAAAAATACAGCTGGGACTTGCACATAGGCTTTTTAACAGCTGTTTGTAAATATGTCTAATAACTCATCCTGTCAACATGCTCACTTTTCCATTACAAGGAAATATTCATAAATGGTATTCCCAGTGCTGAAGGGATCCATTTCCTTAATGAAATACAGATAGTTTACTTTACAAAGTCTAATTGCCTGAAGAATGGGTGTCAGCTTTCTTTATTCAACTCGTGGTACTGAAATCCTTCCAGCTCACGTGTACAACAAGGGAAGAAGTTAATGGAGCTTTTACAGCAGTGGCTTAGTAGCTAAGCCACCTTTAAGCAATAATCCCAGCAAATATAGATGGAGATGCTGGACTCGCCTGCCTTCTAGGCATTTAGATGTTAAGTAATATGAAATTCAGTCCTACTAATTGACTGAATAGGGCAATTCTATAGGGAACACCTATAGCACTGAAATCAAGTCATTGATTACATTTCTTAGGTAAGAACGCCTGCAGCAGGACTGCGCAGAGAGATGCTGAGCTGAAAAGGGAATAAACTGGAGGAGAAGTCATCAGGGCACGTGGGGATGGGAGGCATGGTACGGGTTACAAGGGCTGTAGTGTCATAAATCCCAGGGGAGGCCCAGCACAGACCTGAAGGTCTGATTTAGCAGAAGAACCACCACACACTGGACCTGCCCACTGCAAAGCTCATTTCTATGAGCTTCTCTGGCTAATGCGGTGCTCAGGGTGCGCATCTTCCCCAAGATGGGAATGGTAAACTATGCGCACACACTGCTAATGATCGAATCTGACCCCAAACAAATGGAGAGACATTTAAATCAGAGCCTGAAATACAGCACTGAGCCAATAGTGGTGGTGTGATTTTTGGAGACATTCAAAAATGTTATTAAAGCTAAACAAACTCATTTAAGCATGATCTCTCTCCTTCTGTATGCTAATATGGAAAATGGAAAGTAGCCTAGAAAATACAGTATGCTCTCGACAGCAGGCAGGTTCGCTGGATGCCAATACTTAAACACGATCCATCATTTCTAAGGGGAGCCTGAGTGTGTGCAAGCATGTCACAGCAGCTTTACATTACTGTTCTGTAAAATTAAACTAAATACTTACTACTAATTCAGCCTGTGAAGTGTGTGATGGGAGCACGAGCACCGCGGATCCCCCATTAACATGAAATATGATGCATTAGGAATGCAGCTGCCACTCAGGTATGGTACCCAGGTCTGACCACAGCACGTCCTGGGACTGCTCACACCCCTCTGGCCGCACTCCATTAATTTTTTAGATCAGAGATTTTGCTCCACGATCTTCCCACTACTACCAGAAGAAAAATACATTTTTTTTTTCCCTCTTTCACATGGGTACCCCCATCAGTGTATCCCACAGGTAGGTTTGGCACAGGGGATGTTCCTGCCCCAGCATCCATGTGCTGGAAATGCCACACTCCCAGCCCCTGTGGTCCTGCTCCCTGCTGGAGGGGTCGGGGGGTCCTAGAGGTGAGGGCTCTGCAGGAAAAGCAGCCAGAGGAGTGCGTACGAGCCAGCACGGCAGCAGAGCTCTGTTCCCCTTCCCTTCCGTCTGACTGCAGCAAAGCAGCAGCTGATCTCATGTGAAAGAGCCAGGATTTGAACAAGATCTCAGACAATAAAAAGGGCAGAGCCGAGGACCCCGCAGGAGGAAGACTGATGTGGTTACATCCCCAGGTGCTTAAACGGAGACATTTTCTGTCGCTTCAGATCTTAAGGTCAGAGGAGCACAGATAACTGAATCCCCTTGTAAACCTCGGCAGGTGACTGACCCTGTGCAGCCCCTCTCTGATGGGGACAGATCATTTTTCTATGGGCCTTCACTCAAGCATGCAGCAAGGCAAGGCTTCAGCCTTGTGAACACCCAGCCTGGAGAGCCTGGCTCCGTGCAGCCTCCCAGAATTGGGATTTGGGATCTTCCCAGGTGCTGGCAGAGGTGTCTGGGAGCACGCCTGTCCCACAGCCCAGGAGCACAGCACCCAGCTCAAACATTTTCGGGACTGTTTGCACAACCAGCACAGGAGGCATCCTTGGCTGAAGGGTCTGAGAAATCCCCACCACCGGCTGCAGGGACAGACACTGGCAGAGCAGCTCAGGTCTGGGAGGCAGCTAAGAAAAAATAAATGTTTTTGTTTTTTTTTTTGAGGGGGCACCCCAAGAGCCACCTGCAGCTGGTGGTTTGGGGGTGCCCAGCTGCCTGGGAACCGCCTGCTGCAGCTCCGCTCGCCTCTTGGCACGAGGTGGCTGAGCCCCAGGGCCTGGGGATGCAGTTTGTGTCTTTCCTTGTTTTGTTTTTGATAAGAAAACCAGCCGATTTCCCCATTGCCCTGCTCTTACCCTTTTGTCCCATTCTGTCATGCTGAAGTGAAACAAAATTGCAGAAATAAAGCACATCTGGTGATTTACACAGTGTGAAAAACCAACAAGCGCTCTCCAGCCCGGGCTCCCAGACCATCGCACAATGCAGCCACAAAAACAAACACATGCTAATGCCTGAATGCGTGAGAGCATTTGACATGATGGATTTTTAAGCCAAGCAGCATCTGCTAACATAAATCCTGCAGAGCCCCTCTGTGCACAGGCCCGTGGGGGCGGGCTCCAGGCCCCCCAGCACCCCCAACCCTGTGCCCCCATCCCCAGAGGCAGGCACCCAAGCCCCAGGGACCCCCCAATTTGGATAAACAGACACTGTTTTGGGGCATCACTCTGATGCTCAGGCTCATTCCGAGGCTGCAATAACAGACTAATCATTTTTCTCTTCATTAGGTGGCAACTAAAGCCTTGTCAGGTTTACACAGCGAATTAGTAAATCCCTTTAAGTATCTGAGCACTTCTGTTGACCTGTTCCCAAATTTCACTCTCTGCTAAAGGCAAACACTGCAATTTCCAGAGGAACCTTTTCATCCATTTTTCATGTGGCTCACTTTCTTCAAAGGCAGAGTGGGGCTGCATGCGAGAAGGAAAACTAACATTTCACTTTCATTCTGTTGCATTTTAATATCGAAGTTGGGCACCTGGCTGCGTGCTGCCCCCGTTTGCCACAGAAGACACCCGGAGTCAGTGGGTAACTGAGATGGCTCCGGGGCAGAAGAGAACAGAGCCTGGTTAACTGCCCAGTTAACTGGATGAAGGGCTATTCAGCACCCTCCCCTTTTTTAAAAAAAATTAAAATCAAGCATGCTATTTGATCCTTGCCATACCATCAAATGGTTGCCCCATTTGAACAAAGCAGGTGCTTAATTAAGGAGCTGTTTGTTTTACCAAGCTGTATTCATTGGGGAAAAAAGAACAAACCAAGAACTGGAATGTTTAGAGTGGCGACCCCTAATATTTAGGTAATTTAGCTTAAATTCCTCCAGACTCTAGCAGGGCTAACAGATGAGTAGGCTCCACCAGGGAAGGGCTCATCTACGATAGAGCAAAGATAACGCTAGCAGCGAGCGTTATCTTTTTGGCTCTGCCTCCACATGAATTATTGTTCAGCCTGAGCAAATCTCGCCGTGGTGGCACGATATCACATCAGAACAGGGCTGTGGTGAGCACACCACCCAACGTGTCAGACTCCTGCAGCTTTGCCACCATCCTTCCACTTTCCTCTTGGAAAGCTGGGCGTCCTCATCCAGCCAAGGTTTCACCTCTCCAGGGGGCTCAGCCCCAAGAGGACACAGAAGCTCAGTACAGTTTTGGCCAACCTGCAATTTTCCCCTAATATGACTATTCATCTTCCACATACTTCCAGCGGTGGGTAGTGTGTCAGTGTGGGAGGATATCTTCCTGCAGATAAGCTACTTCATCATTAAAAAAATTAACTTTGTTCCTGACTTGTGTAAGGGCTTAGATTAATGCCCTATCTTTTCAGTGCAAGAGCCTCAATTTAAATCCTTTCCTGTTAAGCCTGATCAAGAAAGGATCCGGCCTGGCCCCAGCACTGAAATTAGTCTGTACAGTCTGCATTGTTAAAAATTAATTTTACCTGATGGCTCCTCAAAGCCGAGTGAAATGCAGCCAGGAGCCAGCGAGGCCCCTCGCATCCCTCCCCACCTTCCTCTGCTCTCAATTCTCTCCTCATCCTCATCACTTCTCATTTCTGTTCCTTTCTTTAAAAATGTTTTGCTTTTAATTAAACCCATAAGCAGATACAAATAAACATGAAGGATGGAAAGAAGTGTGTATGAGACCAGATAAATGAACAGAGCATCGCGCATCTACAGAGCCCATCACGCCGTAATGAATCCAGCAGGGTGATGCTGCATGCAGGTTTTCACATTGGGTTTTTTTTTCATGGCACAAATTTGTTACCTCCTTTCTCCCTCAGAGAGCCTCGTTGACTTCAACTCTGAGCAAAATAAATCTTATTTGACCTGAGAGTTGTTTTCACCTTACTACAGAATTTATTTCCCCTGCCTTTCTGATCAGCATCTCCGCACACTCCAAGCAGGCGGCTGAGAACCCACGTCCTTGTTTTTTATTGCTGTCTCCATCACCAGCATCTGACTTACGATGGGCCAAGAGCAGCTTCTCCATTCTCATCCTCAGCTTGTTCTCTTGTAAAATGGATTCTAATTAATAAGTGCCAGGATGTCAGCTTGAGATCCTCAGATGGAAGGCAGTAAAGACCTATAAGGTGCCATTAACTTAGAATTAGTTTGTGACATTTCTTTAACTTTATAACCATCTATCCATTCACCAATCCATCTCTACACAATTTTACATCATGATCATTCACCAAAATATCCTAGAGGCTGTTATATTTTAAGCCCTTTTTATTTTTCTTCATGAACACTCTGATTTCAGAGACGGGAAAGAAAAGGAAAGCCATTTGCCAGGCAGTGAGCAGACTCACTGTCAGGTGAGAGGTGCTCTAACAATACAGCAGTCTTCAGTTATTATTATTTCTTTTTTTTGAAGGTGCATCTCTTTCACAAATCAGTTTTGAGGCAGGACATGAAGGATCTCACGAGCTGCCCTCCATCCTTCCACCACCTTTGGGAGCCACACGGGGCGAGCCCCCGGGCAGCTGTGAGCAACGAGGAACCTGCTGCTCTCCTGTCTGCGCACTGAGAGCTCTCCTCAGGGGGTTCATCTCAGCTTCTCCAGAAAGAAAACAAGGTGGGGGGAGTCAGGTGCTGCTATCGACATTCAGAGGTTGCATAAATCTGCACAACATAAATCTGCACAGCAGGGAACACCCAGAGCACTTGCGCTCGCTCCGTGCAGCGCTGCCAGCGGCGCCTCTTTCACCCTATCCCTCCTCCCAATCCCTGCTACTCTGCCTCACATTTCCCTCTCTCCCTTCTCCCCTCTATTCCTTCCTCCTCCAGTTCAAGTGCCCATGAACAATTTTCGCTCCTTGCCAATTCTGGAGATCAAGTTCCCCGGCCAAATCCTGGGGAGAGAGGGAAATGGGAAATGCACCCAGCGGGGATGGGAAGACAAGGCGCTCACAGCCTGCTGCCAGCACCTGCTGCATCGCCCTCTCATGCTTGACCCTATCTCATCTTCAGAATTTGAAGCAACTTAAGCCCATGTAGTCTAAATGTATGCCTAATCTCATTACACTAATAATTCATAGGTCTTGATCTGCGGGAGTTTCACAGATAAGTGGCAAGACTTTTATAAAAGTGCTCATCATCTACAAGGAGCTGCATTTGGAAGGTGGCCTTCCAGCAGCAGCAGCCGCTCTTAACCCATGCCACTGGGCTTCATGCTCTTAGATGTCCCATTTTAAAATACCCTTGGCCTAAATTAGCAATCAGAGCACCTGGGTTTGTGCTGGTGAGAGCTGCATGCAGCTGGGCAGGGTCAAACCCAGAGCTTCCTCCTTAGGATGCTCCGAAGGGTTTTGCTCACACTTTGTAGTGCATTTTCTTCCCCAGGTCTCCATTTTAACTTTCTCTTTTTCAGGAAACAGGCCATTACCACATTAAAAATTGCCTTCCTCAAAAAATAGTGATTTTTTATACCATGTTTCTCCTAATTTCTGTGCTGAAAGCCAGGCAAAAATTCTCCATCATGCAGCAGAAGCCTGGCTTTGGGATGAGACACTTGAGAGGACTGCTTTGTAACTAGCTAATTACTGCTGGTCAGAGGGTTTTATTACTGTAATTATACAAAAACACCTTAAGCCATTCAGGGAGTGGGAGTATATCAATTTAAAAGACTGAAACAAAACAAAGACATGTACTTGACATACCTAGAGAGACTTCTGCTGAAAGAAAACAGCCTCCCCAGGGCACCTCTGTGTTACAGTCACCAGATGTGACCCGTTTGCACTGGAGGAGGGTGCCCCTGGGCTGGTTGTTCATAAAACACCTTCCTGACGTGGGTGCCCTGCTCAGCCCGGCAGCTGGAAGCATTCAGAGCTGCTCACAGGAGCCCAGGCAGGATGGCCATGGGCTGGCACCGCCTGGGGCTGCAGCTCCTGCAGCCGAGCCAGACCCAGGGGGCTGCTGCGTGGCCTGCCCAACACTCATCGGATTTCTTTGTTGGTTTACAGAAGCATGAGCCAAATCCTTCTCCAGCATTAGGACACACATGCAGCGCACCTGGTGTCTTGGAACTGCTGGGCAGATTGGGTGAAGTCTCAGCTACTGCAAGTCACCAACAGCACCGAAGTGGCCAGACCCACTGGTGACTCACATCGCCTGGAGATCTGGGGGCTTTGTCTGACTTGGAACCAGATAAATATTGAACAAACAGCTCCGGAATTGTCCCAGTAGGTGGGAATTATATTACATTCACGCTCATAAAAATGTAGATAATTGGAAAGCTACTTGATTTTTTTTTTTCCCATTTTAGTTTTCTGGTCCTGGCCCTGGCTGTCTTTCAAATGCCTTTGGCTAGCTTGACATACGCACAGACACACGCATCCACTTCCCACACAAGCCATACAAATCCCAAGTTGTGGAAACATGCAAATGCAAACAAAAGCAGTCAATCTACCCAAAGAAACAATTAAAAACTAATGTTATTATCCACCATTAAAACTGGGTGAGACTCAGAAATGAAGGAGAAATTGCTTTGCATTAGTTTCTCTGCATGTCATCCTGCTCCTAGCAGGGCTTTAATAATACGCATACTTATTTGAATAGCTTGCTGATCACACTCATCAATCCTAAAATGCAGACTCCTGCCAGAAGAATTTATAACCCTGTTAATAGGATCTGACACGGGAACGCTCTCAGATTCAGGCGAGGTGGAACAGGTGGCGGTGCCCTGGGCAGAGGCGTCCGCTGCCACCACAGCTCCTGAAATGCACAAACCTCTCCAGACAGGACAGGGAGCAAGAGCCAGAGCCCCAAAATGCTTCCTTGGGTTTTGGGGGGTTTTGGCCAGGTCACACTCAGGCTGGGTCTCTACAGCTGCCCTCACCGTGGCCCTGGGTTTTGGATTTTGAGTGCTCTCTGTTTTCCTGGTGAGAGCTTCAGAGGCAGCAGAACACTTTCAGGTTCTGAATACTACTGGGAAATAGATCAAAATCTTTGCTCTTAAAATTTAGTTCCTTCTTAAATGATGTCAGTATGCTACAAAAATATGGGAGAACGACTACAGCTTTAAAAAGAAAGAAGTGGTTGCGTATAAACCTGGAAGGAGTCCCCAGCTCCATCGATAGCACGAGCATTATATCACCCCATCACACACAGCCAGAATTACTTGTCCCCGTTGGCTTTTTTTCCCCGCCTTCTTAATCCTTTCCTGCAGCTTTACTGCGTGTTTTTTTTCCCCTAAATTTTGTTATTTCTGGGGGCTTAACTTGAGGCCTCAGTCAGGTTTTAAAGGCCTTAATACTTTTTGTGCCAGTAATTCCTAGAAACCACTAAATGACACTAAAGTTATTCTGACTCTGGAGGAGAGATTTGCAGGGGTAATTTCGGCGTTTGGAGGTGCACCAGATCTTGCAACTATTTGGAGACACAACTGAGAAAAATAATCAGGGGGTTGAGATTCCTGAGTTTCTGCACCAAGCTGGGGTGTTAACACCTAAAGACAGGGCAGGAGGTGAAGTCAGCAAGATCCCTCTGAGCCCTTGTCACACAGCTCAGACTGCAGCAGCAGCTGGGGAGCAGCACTCAGGGAGATGCCTGGCTGCATGTCCAGCCAGCTCCCAGCTCCCTGCACAAGGTGCAGCAGGGTCCTGCTCAACCCAGCCCGTGCCTGGTTTTAAATCCTAGAGGACCAGTGGCTTGTGCACACTCAGCAGCAGCTGAGATTGAACAGGGATAATGACAACACAGAGCAAAGCACTCATCTCATCAAGCATACTTGGTTATTCCTCAGGTGTTGCTTATTTTTAATAATTAATGAAGATGCTCCAAGCAATGCTGGTGGTGCCCAATCGCCTCTTGCACAGCATGGCTGGCATCCAGGTCTCTCAAGGACAGTGCTGTCTCCTCTTTCGGTTCTGCTCAGCAGTGGGAACAGACAATTGTTTTCCCTGATAACTTATGAGCTAAATGAAATTTGTTTTTCATGTGCAATAAAGTTGCCAGTGGTGTGCAATTTGCATTTTAGTGAGCTGTGTGTGCTGATGGGGACTTTGAAGTGTTCACAGAGCCAAAACAACCACAGCTATTTGTCACTTCAACCCCTTCTAAAGGGAGGATCTATGAGGAAATTGTAAATACATCACCAACAGATCCCCCGCCTGGCATTTGGTCCCCTTGTTCGGGTTTAGAGCAATTCAGAAGCTGTTAAAAAGAGACATCCCCATTTTGGGGCTTGTGGAGAGGCTCAAGCAAGGTTACATCGGTGGGAAAAATGAGGAATTTCTGCCTTTTTGTGCTGCTGGATGGCCTGGGCCTGAAGCTGAACCAAGGCTGTAACACAGCCTGAGCTCCGCAGCCACAGCCAGCGCTGCTGTGCGAGGTCTGCCCACCCCTGCCTCCCCAAACCATCTCCATTTCATTTGCAAACGGATTTCATGATGGAGCAGAAATGCCAATCAATTGTACAGCCATCAGCACACGAGCATCCCCAATCTGCATTAGCCAGCCGGGCAGCTTTCCAGAGCATCATCTACAACACATGAATTATTACCCAAACATTACTGCTGTCAGCACATTCCTCTCTATACAACTTCCTATTATTATTTTTTTGGCGGACAACCCTGAAATTTTAAACAGCTCAATCTTGCTAAAGTAATGCAACTGCCTACTGCCTCCAGGATGAACTTTTCATAAAAATCAACAGTAATCCTTCTACTGAGAATAGCAGCAAAAAGCCCCAAACAATCCTTGCATTTTTCCTTTGTTTGTTTTGGTTTTGGTATTTTCAGCAGCTCTGACTTCCATTCTAATTTGCACTAACAGCCTTTTATTTGTCTTGCAAAGGGGAAAGAAGAGACTTAAGGGATCCTTAAGCTTCAGCGACAGTACGAAGCTGCGTGTAAATCAGGGCACAGAAGGCAGGGTCAGCAAGGGCTGCTGCTTGCATCCGAGCTCATTAAGAAAAATGTGCACCGAGCACCATTTGCTTTGAAACTTTGTGCTACTGCGATTCATTCAGAGAACGCAGGAGTCCAAAAAGCACTAGAAATGGTCTTAGAAACCCTGAAAACAAGGTTGGTAAATTACTTTGCCATTAATACTCCTCTCAGCAAAGAAAAAAAGGTTGGAGTG